ACTTTCTGGTGTCTAGGGATTTATTTTCCAAACCTTGAAGCACAGCTGCCTTTATGGTCGGAGAATTCGCACTAGAGCTTTCGCCACTCAAAAGGTTAGTTGTAAAAAGGAACTTGGTGTGTTTAGAGGCTTTCTTATCTACATACTGGATGAAGCAGATCATCTGCTCTTGAACAGCAATATCTGTAAGGTCGTCTATGAGCAGTCCAAAACATCTGGCGGCCTGAGCATCTGGCAAAAAGGAGTTACAAACCGCATCTCCCAATGCTAGCATCATTTCTTTTTGCACTCGTTGACTTCTGTGTTGGAAGTACTTGATCTCTTCACCCCCTTGCAACGCTACAAGCTCATTTAGATGGGCTGCTTTCCTATTCGATATCTCCTCTTTCATCAGGAAATATAGATTACGCATGACGCATTCAATTGTTTTTGCCTCCGCAGCTTTTCTGTTGCTGACTTCTCTCTGGAAAATACTTCCCCTCTGTGTGTGTTCAAGTTGGATAACTTCATTGTGTGTTCTACTGTTGAGATGCCCCACCAATGCCGAGGACTTGAACCTCACTGAGGGCTCTGCAGAGAATTTCTCTTGCTTATTTTGTGTAGAGTGGACATTGTGCTTCTTGCACAGGATACAATACACCCCTTCACCTTCTACAAACACAGGCCACCAGTATCCGCTTGCTGCACAGTAGGCAATGTCAGCTTTGCATAGCCATGCGTGATTAAACAGCTTTTCTTTCTTCTTGCCCTTGTTTGCTTCTAGCTGCCTGGAAATCTCTTCTCTACTGAAGGTACAACCCGCATCACAGATATCGTGGTGATGAATTCTTGATTTCTCTCCAGGAAAAAGGTCTTCCAACATCTCTTGTGTAGGCATTTTAGATTGATTATCCAATGGTTTTTTGCTTACGTTTGTTACAGGCACAGCAGATGGACTTTTTTCTACTGAGGGAACTTTTTCCACATTATCTGCTGATGTGTAAGGCAACGGAGCACATCTATCATTAGAGTCAGCTTGTGGTGCATCAGACTGTGTGAGATCTGCAGATGTGGATGCATCTGATGAAAGAAAGTTACTGTTATGTTAAGATAATGAAAAGTGTAATTGTATTTATACAGTAAATAAGTGTTGTCAAAATGTTTTCTTGCCTGACACCCGTTGTTTTTTGGTGAAAAATGTCTGAATCCCGGCCTGTTTGGAACATTGTCTCTTTTGGCTCATGTTCGAGAACTACACTGTGATGTTGCACTGCAAAAGTAATGCATAATAATAATGATATCTTTACTTATATAAGAAGTCAAGGATATAATTTATCAACACCTCCAATAGGCATCGTTTTTTCTTTACAACCAAAGAGAGTCTGGAAGTTCGCTTGCAGCCTCAAAACAGACTGGGCACGACTGGTTCCAAATATGGCACGTTGATTATGCAATCGAGCACATGGCGACAAACAGCGACAAACAGCAACAAACAAAGTGGTTGTATCTTCGCCCGTTCATCCCTCAGGCAATACCGGGCACGTTACTAATAAATATTAATGTAAAACAACACTCGAATCGATCTGGAAGAATTTCACATCAAGATATTAACACAAGAATCAAACAGATCAAAGGTGAACAAAAACACGAACATCACAAAAATATTTCGCAATTTTATCCCGCACGATCGGCTTATCACTTTACTTCGGTTTATAGCTTGACCCGAGATAATATTTTTTATGCTTTCGCTTGGTGAGAATAAGTAGTTCCTAGTTAAAGTATATCTGTTTAAACTAAAACAGTGAGAAGCCGAGAAGTCAAGAAGATAATTGACCTTTCAAATAGTGATTAATTATTGTCTGCGTTAAATTTATTTTGCTTCGAATTCACGAAAGCTAAATGAAGCGTATTTGAAATGAAAAGGCGACACACCTCATAAACAAAGGACCATTTTGGTTTAATAAATTGCGATGAAAGCGCTACATTTCATTAAGTGATGAATATTTATGAGAAATGCAGAAATAAAACAATTTACGTACCTTGAAGGGATGCCAGTGATGCGTGACTTGACAACGCAAACTTGCATTAATGAACGTCACGTACCAGTACACGCGTAAAAATTCCTCTTCGTTTTCGCGAGTTTCTTCGGAGGAAATATGTACTCCTCATCGATTTCCGTTTCTTGCACGTCATTGTCAGACAACATACAAAGCGTTTATTCTTTATCTAAAATATTTTAAATTATTTACCAGCAAGGATGCTTTTAGTTGCCGGCGACGGAGCCGTTCGCAGGCGGCGAAAATCGCCGGTCGCCGGCCGAAAAGGAAAACCCTGTCCAAACAGTGTAACTCTAACGGCAACCAGCAGTGTTGAAACAATTTCTACTCAGCGTAGCAATCGATTTGAAAATCACATCATCGCCTTGATTCACATGACTAAGTGGTCAAATGCTACGCCAAACTATTTGATGTTTGACGTAGTGATCAAATACAAGTCGGGGCAGTCTTACGATCAGAAACTCCCCATCTGGGTGATAGTCTATGGATCAAAGGGCTATCACAACAGCATACCGAAGAGTGTTTGGACGAGTTGGTTCAGCTTTACAGGAGGTGGAGTCCATATCAATTCTGCGCTTACTCTCGAAAAACAGCCGTCTGTTGCCACTTCAGCGGTAACGAAAAAGTATGTCGATGATATCCAAACATCTTTACAGACAAATATCGATACAAAAGCGACAAAGACGGAGCTGACAAACGCAACGAAAAAGATCTGGTATCGAGGAAACTGCGCTCATAACAACGTGTCACAGGTAACATTTTACGTAAATGGGACATCAGATCATACAACAAACGTTTCACAGAGTGATAACGCTGATTTCACAGTGAACAGTTCAGACAATACAAAACTCATAATCGTTAACGCTGGCATGTATCTGGTCACATACATCGATGGTGTCAAGTCCCAACATCTACATAAACTCAAGTTTACCTTGAGCAATTCGTTCGTGAACACGGCAAGCGGCATATTGATGGCGCTACCCAACACAAGAAAGACTTGGGTTAATATCACTAATACCGTTCTGTTGTATTTCCAAGCGAACACATCGCTGAGCATAGCGACTGATAACAGCGCTACTATACTTGATGGTTTGGATTGGAGCCACCTGTTGATCGTGAAGCAGGATTAATCCTTCAAGAGGGTAAGTCGTGAAAAAAAAGCTAATTTTATTATGAGGGGCTCATAATAAAATGTCTGACGCTGCCATTTTCAACTTTAATCACATCGACTACTCTATCGGTGAAGAGAAGATCGATGAACTCAAGGCTCTATACAAACACTATCACAAGAAGTGGTGGTGCTCGCGCAAGATATTCACCATTTTCAAACGAAAGAGTCTTCTCTGTAAACTGGGGAGTACCACGCTCATCATTGTTGGTGGGATAGCCGGTGGAGTAACCCTAAATCCAATACCCCTCGCTACAATATCTGGCACCGGCCTCCTTCTCAAAACGTTTACAGAAGTGAAAAAGTTTGACCGAAAGATAGATATGAGCAAATTCGCTTTCACTACCTATGAGAAGATCTTGACCGATCTGAGAAGCTACCTGAGAGGAAGGGCCTTCAACAGCGCTTCGTTCCTCGATGAGGTGAAGCTTATCGATGACACCATCACAGATCTTTGCCCAATCTTTCAGTCGAGTAAGGTACTCAAGCAGTATGAAAAACGCTTTGGTGAGGTCTAGGCCAACTTCTTTGGTGCTTTCCTTTTTTGTTTCAAAAAAGGAAAAAAAGAAGGCTTGCGTTAGACTTGTAAGGCTTGTTGTTGTAAGGGTAGTGCCCTACCTTCTATGGCATAGAACGGCACCTTACTACTGATACTAACGAGAAGATCGATGAAAAAACGATTTGATTGTTGTATCTTAGTTGGCTTTATTTTCAAATCACCACCAGATACCAGCGCGGTAAAGAGGTCTTTCTTTTGAAGCTCTGTCAGAAGATTCCTATGAGCTATGAGCAATCTCATTTTTGTGTTTGGCACGTCAAAACTGTTATATTCTTCTTCATCTTTTTCCTCATCTTTTTCTTTTTCTTCTTTTTCTTCTTCCTCTTCAACCTCTTCGAGTTTTTCATCTTCTTTCTCTTTGAAGGCTTCACTTTCTTTCTCTTCTTCTCTTTTCTTGAAAAGTTGCTTCATCTCCCCAATGCTAATAGATGGCCAACCGTCGATAAATGGTTTTGGCCTGGGTGGCTCTTTGAAGTCAGACAAAAAGGCGGTAGGCCAAGAAGGTGGTGGGAGCAGTTTCTCCAACTTCTCAAGGTTAAATTTAACTATCCCACTGTCTGGCACATCAAAGGTGGCATATCGCTTTTTCGAGAAAGAGAACCGTTCCACATACACATCATGCAATAGCAGCTGCACTGAAAATTTATCATCAGCACCAATGGAAACTATACTATCGATGACAATGGCCATCTTTACTTTACAATCACGACCTAAGTAATCAAGTGGCTCGACTTTTGTTTTATCTTTTGTGTAAAAGAGGGTATGTATCTTCTGAATAGACTCAGAGTACATAAGTTTGGGGCAAAAGAGTGCGTATACATCTTCTCTCTCAACCATAGGGAATTTCATACCCTCTGCCTCCTCTTTTCCACAAAGTTCATCAATGTGTTCGTAGCAAAGTTTCTTCAACTCTTTCAATGCATCATAGAAGAGTTTTTCTTGCGAATTGTATGGACTCAGCAAAACAGGCATTGTATACCCCTTAATATCCCCATCTACACTAAAGTTCTGTTGTAGATATGAAGAGAGGAAAGGGGATACTATCACCAGCGGTCCCATCCCCCCACAAGCGTGTTTTGCTTTGATTTTGATGTGTATGTCGTATTTTGATGCGGTTTCCTGTTCTTCGAATATGACATTGTCCTTGTTGATGTCTTTCAGTTCCGTGAGTTTTATCATCGCGTGCGTGTAGTACTTGCGATGTTGTGCTTTAGTTGCTTTCCAACTACCCAAGAAAAAAAAATCAAAAAAAAGTAAAAACAAGGGTAGCACTTAACTTTTCAAATAAATGCAACACCTGCTTTTTACATCGTTGACACTTAACTTTTGAGATAAATGAGCTTTCCTTTTTCGTTTCAAAAAAGGAAAAAAAAGACCTTTGGTCTTAGTCTTCAAAGTCTAGCTCTTCTTCTTCGAGTTCATCTTCTTCAAGGACAGCCAATGGCTGCACCTGTGTCTGCGGCAACCGATGTATATATACATCGTTTACTTTCAGCTGTACCGATGCGTACTCATCACCCAGATAGATACTATCAACCACGATGGTCATCTTTACCTTACAGTAATCAAGACATTCTGCTCGGTCGACTTTTGATTCTTCTTTTGAGTGGAAGAGGGTGCGTATCTTATCAGACTTTTGACTGTACATAAGCCTTGGGTATAATACCGGTGCTTTCCCCTCTTTCTCCACCAGTGGAAACTTTATGCTCTCTGCCACGTCTATGCCATAAACTTCGTCTAGATATTGATAGCAAATGTGCTTCAACTCTTTCAATGCTTCATAAAAGGCAAATTCTTTTTGTGTTGGCTCGTCAGAGCCGTTGGCTCTGTGGTTCCACAGAGGAGTGGGTAGTGTGTAGCCCACAACATCCCCACTCTTACTCAAGCTTGGTTGTACACCAAACGAGAATCGAAAAGGTGAAGCTATCACCAACGGCCCGGCAATATTTTTATGTTTGATCTTGATGTTGATACGTTCGTGGCCGTGTTGGTTAGTGACCGCCTCTTCAAAGATAACATTATCCCGCGTAATACTTTTGAGACTTGAGAGTTGCATGTTTGTAAATCTGTAATGTAATGTACTTTACTTTTCTTTGCTTTATATTTTTACAGAGAAAAAAAAATCAAAAAAAACAAGTGTTGTCCCATGCTGACCAAAAAATCAACACACATTTTCTACGATAGTAGTACAAAGGCTGAAGACTAAAGTATGGTTAACATACCAAAACTGACCACTCGTGGTGGAGGTACTCGAAAAAGAAGGGTTCCAGGCGTTAACTATCTCGATGAGGACTATAGAATGTTGATAGCCGGCCCCTCAGGTAGTGGTAAAACGAATTTGCTATCATATATGTTGAGGGCACCGCTGGTGCCATATGACGAAATATATATCTATAGCCCCAACTTCCACCAAGACCTAATACAAGACCTTGCGAAGATCATGCACCGGCATTCGCAAAGACTGGGTTATCAGATTTTACATCTGATGGACCCAGCTCAGATCCCCGACACAACCGAATATCCTGCAGAGGGGCGAAAGGTTGTTATCTTTGATGATTTGATCACAGCTCCGAAAACAACACAAGACAAAATCCTCAAGCACTTTATCGATGGCAGGCATCATCAGATCTCACCCATATACCTATCTCAGTCGTACTACAAGACTGACAAAGACATCAGGTTGAATTGTTCTCACATGGTTATATTTTTGCCGCCAACACAGCGACACCGCAAACTCATCGCCGATGAGAACTGCTTCGATGTCAGTGCTTTTTCAGCGTTGAGACCTTATGATTTTTTGTTTTGCGACAAGATAAAGGGTACCTGTGCACGAAATTTTGATGAAAAAATATAATACATAATACTAATACAACTCGAAAATGAAAACTTACTGCGTGAAGCAAAAGAAGAAGACTGATAGCGTGCCGGGGAGTGAGCGGCATGAGGTTGCGAAAAATGGTCGACCGATGATCAAATCGAAGTGTGCCGAGTGTGGCATCACCAAAGTTTCCTTTGTGTCAGGAGGAAAAAAAAAGGCGGGACGCTCTTTGAGGATGTAGGACGAACTAGCACCTCGTTGGGTGAGATGGCTGTGAAGGGGCTAGCGAACATGGCTCAGCTAGGTCTTGCGAACGCTGTCAAATCTGACTATGCGAAGAGCAAGTTCAAAAAGACGGCAAACAAGTATCTCGATCAGGCTCTTGATGCGTTTGTCAACGATATGAGTAAAAAGATAAGAGGGGGGAGCGGTGTCGCTGATTATAATGCGTACGATGTAAATCAAGTGTTGCCGATGTCGATGTATGCACCTGATGGGGTAAATGACCCAACAAACCCGCTTTACGAAGGAGGAGCCTTCGATATTCACAAGGCGATCGGTAAACTACCAAAGCCAAAAAGTGGCTGGACGCTACCGGGTCACAAATATACTGGACCCTACAACGACCTTGATAGTCAACTGCGCTTCGATCCGAAGACTGGTGAGATTCTTGAGATCTATGACCCACCAGCGGGTCCGAGTGACGCGGTTGCAATGCAGCACGAC